GCTCCTATGTTGGGTGCATAAATATTTACAATTGTTATATCTTCTTCTTGGATCGATCCCTTGATCATTATGTAGTGTCCTTCTTTGTCTCTTCTGATAGTCCTTATTTTAAAGTCTATTTTGTCTGATATGAGAATTGCTACTCCAGCTTTCTTTTGGTTTCCATTTGCATGGAATATCTTTTTCCATCCCCTTACTTTCAGTCTGTATGTGTCTCTAGGTCTGAAGTGGGTCTCTTGTAGACAGCATATATATGGGTCTTGTTTTTGTATCCATTCAGCCAATCTGTGTCTTTTGGTGGGAGCATTTAGTCCATTTACATTTAAGGTAATTATCGATATGTATGTTCCTATTCCCATTTTCTAAATTGTTTTGGGTTCGTTATTATAGGACTTTTCCTTCTCTTGTGTTTTTGTCTAGAGAAGTTCCTTTAGCATTTGTTGTAAAGCTGGTTTGGTGGTGCTCAACTCTCTCAGCTTTTGCTTGTCTGTAAAGGTTTTAATTTCTGCATCAAATCTGAATGAGATCCTTGCTGGGTAGCGTAATCTTGGTTGCAGGTTTTTCTCCTTCATCACTTTCAGTATGTCCTGCCACTCCCTTCTGGCTTGTAGAGTTTCTACTGAAAGATCAGCTGTTAACCTTATGGGGATTCCCTTGTGTGTTATTTGTTGTTTTTCCCTTGATGCTTTTAATATGCTTTCTTTATGCAAAATTTTTTCTTTATGCAAAATTTAATAGGGGGTATATATGTGCTGTGTCAGTGTACATTTAAAACTCATTCTGCTTTGGTGGTGAGTTGTTGAATGTTTCACAGTTGTATTGAAAAAGCAAGAGCAAGAGGGAGGAATGCAAAATTTTTTCTTTATGCAAAATTTAATAGGGGGTATATATGTGCTGTGTCAGTGTACATTTAAAACTCATTCTGCTTTGGTGGTGAGTTGTTGAATGTTTCACAGTTGTATTGAAAAAGCAAGAGCAAGAGGGAGGAAGGAAGGAATAGCTTAAGGAAACATTTTTTGTGATCTTTATGTAAGACCTATTGTGCATAGCATGCCTATTTATTTATAACATCTTTATAATCAGGGGGGATATTTAATCCTTACAACAGCTCTGCAAGGTAGATAGTGTTATCTCTGGTTTTCACATCTGTAAACTGAAATCTGAGCTTAAGAATGTGTTGTCACATAGGTAGGTGGTGGCAAAGCCTTCATTAGAACCTCCTTGCCCCCAAGTGCAAGCTTTTTGCACTGTGCCGAGTCTTCTATAGAGTCAATTGGTATCATCAGTCCATATTGATCCTTAAGATCTACCTAATGAATTTATTTTATGCCCAGAGACTTGCTCATAAACGGTAACAATAATATCTAATATCTTAATATTTACTATGTGGCAAACACATGATCTTTTATCCCCATTACAACTTAGAAGATGGGTGGTGCAGAACCACCATATCTTATCACCAATTCCACAGTCCAGAGAGCTTTGAGATCAAAAACTTTGTTCATAAATCATTTGGCAATAAATCTGACTTGATCTGAATTAATGACAAAACCTCACTTAAACTGATACGAGGTTATTTATAGTTTTTTTAATTCCACTTAGTATGAATATTCATATATTTTGTTGCAGAAATGTTATGTTTTGTTATCAGATGCTGCCACTCATTTTCCACGGGTATTATGCCATATATATGGTATATTATGGTATATTCCTTTTATTATCTTCCTAAAATGTGAAAAATTCTGAAACACATGTTGCATCAAGAGTTTTGGATAAAAGATTGATAGCTTGAATTATTCCCACTATATATATGCAAAAACTCAAAGGTGAAATAATTTGCCCAGATCTTTGAAACTAGAAATATTTGCCTTCTAGTCAAATCCTAAGGATGGTCAACATATAGATGGGATATTTTAATTCAGATAAAGCTGTTATGAACAGAATATGTCTACACTATGTCAAAATGGTCAGCCTGGTGGGAAAAAAAAAAACCCACTTGTTGTAATTTTATATATACCAATAGCAGTTCAAAACTGGCCAGCAGTTGATTGTCTGAATTAATAGCTTATAGCCAATTGTTAAGAGGGTTATTAGCCAAATGATTTATATTTTGAAACTTGCCTTAAAATCCCTCCCAAATATTTTTTAATGCATCAATCCTTTCAGATTTCTGTTTTAAATAATGGAATTACAGGTGCTTAGAAATAGATTCTCAAGCAGTCGCTTACTTTCATTAAATAATGTGTCATTAATAGAATTAATCAATGACAGAAAATTAACATTTTTTTCTTTATAGGCATGATCACCGATCTTTTCATAGATAAGTTCAAATTCAAAGGCACCAATGTAAAAACCAAAGTGCCTCTTTTACTGGAGATTCTGGACAGTTATGACCAAAATGCATTGATTGCTTTCTTTGATGCTGCATGAAATATAAATAAGGTAAACTTCCAAAGAAGTTGTATGTTTAAATGAAAAATGTTAAAATAGATTTGCAAGCTAAATGTATATACTTTTATTTCAAGTGCGTTTTTTAATATTATCTAAAAATATATGTTATGACTTTTTTTTAGTAATGCTTCTATTTTTTTTGACAAATGGAACTTTTTAAAAAAATTTTTAAAATATTTATTTATCAAACAACGCATACATTGTTAGTATAGACATCGTGCAAGGTTAAAACATATTCAAACATCAAGATCCGCATTCAGGGCTTCCCTGGTGGCGCAGTGGTTGATACTCTGCCTGCCAATGCAGGGGACTCAGGTTCGTGCCCCCGTCCGTGAGGGTCCCACGTGTCGCGGAGCGGCTGGGCCCGTGAGCCATGGCCGCTGGGCCTGCGCGTCCGGAGCCTGCGCTCCGCAGGGGGAGAGGCCACGGCAGTGAGAGGTCCGCGTAAGTTCTAGAGGCTGGAAGTCTGGGGTCAAGGTGCCAGCGTGGTTGGGCTCTGGTGAGAGCTCTCTTCTTGGCTTGCAGATGGTTGCTTTCTTGTTGTGTCCTCACATAGCAGAGAAAGCGGAAGAGGAAGAGGAGTAAGAGAGAGAGAGGGAGAGAGAGAGAGAGAGAGAGAGGGAGAGAGGACAAATGGAACTTTTTAAAAATAAAGAGAATTTTTATTTTTAAAACAAGTGGAATGATTATAAGGGATTTTAATGAATTTCTTTCAAGTGGATGTTTTATAATAATCATCGTATAAAATAATTATTTTATAATAATTATAATGTTTATAATAATCGAGAACTATTATTTGGAAAATAAAAATATATTCAAATATTTAATAAGCTAACACACATATGTATAAACTGCTTTACAGTTTTCAAAATGTATTTACATATGTTACCTCATTTGATCTTTTTTCTTTTCTTTTTGGCTAATTATTATTTTTTTAAATTAATTAATATTTTTTTGGCTGTGTTGGGTCTTCACTGCTGTGTGCGGACTTTCTCTTTACTGTGGTGAGAGGGCTTCTCATTGTGGTGGCTTCTCTTGTTGCAGAGCACGGGCTTTAGGCATGCAAACTTCAGTAGTTGTGGTTCACCGGCTCTAGAGTGCAGGCTCAGTAGTTGTGGCGCAGGAGCTTAGTTGCTCCGCGGCATGTGGGATCTTCCTGGACCAGGGATCGAACCCGTGTCCCCTGCATTGGCAGGCGGATTCTTAACCACTGTGCCACCAGGGAAGTCCCTCCTCATTTGATCTTGACAACATATATTGATTATTTTGTCAAATCATGTAAGAAAACTGATTCTCAGTGAGGTTAAGTGTTTAAGAGGACATGCTATTATTTTGTAAAGGTGGAACCCAAGTTCTGGTGCCTGGATTGCGTTCTGGTTACTATGTATGTTGTCAACCAGGGGAAATAACATAAATTTTTTTTTAGGAATTGAGATTGATTTACAATTGATTTTGCTGTTGCTTGGTAATGTTTTGTGACCCATGCTCAGTTTGTAAAATACTTGAGTTGGCCAGGGAAATCAGAATTTGCACAGATTGGGGGGATCTTAACTTGATGTGCTGTAACCAGTAGGGCTATACAAGTATACTACATGTGAATAGTGTCGAAATAGTGACAGCTTCTTAGATTTTCCTGCACTAATATCCACTGATTTCTTTTTTATCATAAATGGAGGGAAATACGACTTTAAGGCTATGGAAGTCATTAATCTTAATTCATATTTTATTCATATTCAGGTGAATATTGTACTTAAAGGTTGTTTAAAATAGCATAAGGATTACAATAGAAAATAAACTATTCTGTGTGTTTTCAAGAAGGGCACACTTATGAATTTGTTGGAAAACAACAGTGCTTCTTAATTATATACCATTATATTTATAAGTTATGTGCAATCCTTGTTGTATATTAAATGTGAAAATTTGTTAAAGGCACATATTGCTAAGAGAGTTTTACTTTTATAAGGTCATATTGTTTTTACTATGTTTAAACAACCTTCATTTATAAATGGAACACATAATTATATCTAGGTCACTAGAATTTTACTCCGTGCTTTTTGTCGGCTGCCACACCTTGGGGAAAAAAAAGAGATAAAAATTAATGACTGTCTAGTTGAATTTCTTGTAGTACATTACTGTTTGTTACATATATCAACAGTAGTTCAAAGTGGCACTTTAATTGCATCTTCATTAGGAAAAATAAAAAGCATAAGACTGTGAAGAAACACCTAAATAGTAAGATGACATTATAGTCTTTCAATATTATATCAGTCACATAAGCAGCGTGTTAAATGATTTATGCACGTTATTTAATACTAACGGCAACTGTATAACGCGTAGATATTATTCCCAATTAACAGATAGGAAAATTGAGAATTGGAGACACTGAATAACTTGAACAAGACCACCAGGCCAGTATGTGGCCGGATCAGATTTTAGACCTTGAGAAACTAGTCAGTCAAGCTAACTGCTGGAGGTCCTAGGGCAGAAGGCCTGGGCGGCCCGCTACTAATTGCTAAAGTTTAATTCAGTTTATCCTAGAGACAGCCCCTGCCCCGAGACAGGGACCGCCTAGCGGCCCTATTTAAAGTCACAGTAGACTTAGGCCCCGCCTCCCCGCCGGGCGCGCGTACTTCCTCCTGCCGCCGTTCGACATCTCTTCGCCCCGCTCCGCCCCTGCTCGGTTGCCTTCGCAGCTGCCTTCACTCGCCTGCGACCGCGTCGCTCCGAGTGACGTCACGAGCCTCGGCTCTTTTCATTGGCCCATTTCAATAGTCGCGGGATACTTGAACTGCATGAACAGCCGCCGCTCCGGCGGGCTGCTCGCTTCATTTCGGGGGCGTCCTTGGCCCTCCACGCCCGGCAGTGCCTGTCTCCGCCTTTCGCAACCTCCTCGGTCGTACACGATCCCGAGCGGGCCAGCGGGTGGGTAGGCTGGCCCGAGCTGCGGCGGGCGGGTACAGCTGGAGTGTACCTAGGCTGGTCGGCGGGACGCAGTGCACGCTGCTTGGCGCCGCAGGCTGATCCCGCCGCGCCCCCGGGAGCAGTGATGTTGGGCAGCTCCGCGCCCGGGCCTGCGGCCCGCGAGGCAGGCTCGGCGCTGTTAACATTGCAGCAGACGGCGCTCCAGGAGGACCAGGAGAACATCAACCCCGAGAAGGCGGCGCCCACCCAGCAGTCCCGGACCCGCGCTGGGCTGGCGGTACTGAAGGCCGGGAACTCGCGGGGACCAGCGCCGCAGCAGAGGCCTAAGACGCGACGGGTAAAGCAGTGAGCCGTATCTGCAGGAGGGTGGGTCGAGCGGGAGTTTTGCATGGGTTTAGCCGGCAGAGGAGAGTGGCGAGAAAGCATCCCCTGGCCTTTTCGCGGGAAGCCAGGATCTGGAGTCCCTTGATCCCTGGTTTTTCTGGATTGTAGGATGCCACATTACTCCCATTAGTTTTTCCCATTACCCTCCCTGCCAGCACTCTGCGTTTGTGCTGCCTGCCCGCTCTCCTCCATTGGGAGTATTTTTCTATAGATAACGAAGTCAAACCAAGCCCTACAACATGAGTATGGTCTTTGCCCGCCTCCACGCCTTTCTCTCTGCTTTTAAGCCCCAGGCACTGCTCGGACTTCCTTCATCCTCCCCATACGGTTAAGAGATTACCTCTGCTTTAGGAAAGAGTATAAAAAATACTTTGCTTTTGGTCAATTCCGCCATCTTACCGAATTTGCTCTGTTGCTCCACCCTGGGGCGAAAGAGGTAAACCACTTTTTTGCCATCTCTCCTAAATTTGGCATTTTTCGCCCTGCCACTCCACCCATCTCGTGGCCTTGATTAGTTTTGCCCAATTCCACTTAATCTGACTCTAAAACCCTTGCAGGAATG